GCCAGGTCCAGCGGAAGAAATAGTGGATTCTCCATTGTAATTTATCTGCCTACACACCCTCTCGCGCACATGCAAGGTAGGCGTTTGCTGGTGATTTTGATCTGTGCCTTGGCCAAGATGAAAACCAGACTCTAAAAAGGAAGGCCCAGTGTTGCTCTGGGGGCAAATTAGCAGCACATCTGGCAGGCATCGAGGTCAGCAGCCGGGGCCATAAAAGGACCTTCTGAAGGAAACAGGATGTGATACCTGGTAGAGGACCATTTTGGATAAGAATAGGCGTTCCTGTCATTCCGAGTATCCCTCGGACAAAAATAATGCCTGAACAAAAAATTTAAAACCACAAAGCTGCTCAGCTCAGGAGCAACTTTATGCTTGGAGGGATTCACTGCTTTAATTAGACCAAAAGTGAATTATTTCCTTATGAGCTGAGTCATACACAATCGCACGGAAAGTGGCAGCCGGCGGAAGAAACAAGAGTCATGTCACAGCTAACAAGACGCTTCCATGGATTTAATTTCACATTCAGTTGCTGGTCACCTCGCATTAAGAAATCTAGCATATGTGCATTGTGAACCAGCTCTAAATGTGATCTATCATACACCGTTCTCCTTAGCCAGATCCAAGCTGACTTGGATAACAACGTAATTGAGAGCACTTGCAAATACCATGTGAAGATAGTCTACCTGAGAGCACAGTGACTGCAACAAGTGAACGGGTTCAAAGTGACCAGTCTTACTTTTGACTGGCATTATTCCCTTGAATCAGTAATCTAAAAGATTGAGCTACTAAAACAGAGAATGAAATACAACTACTCATTACAAAGTGCACGGTAACTACAGATTTAAAACATACGTAGAATGTAGATAAAAACAAAGAGGTAGTAGGGATCACATTACATCCACATAGCGTACAGCAACAAAAGTTGCACGTACAATAAATGAGACCAAAATATTGGTTACACATATAATAATCACTAGACCAAATGCATTTCGGCCCACAGGGCCTTCTCCAGGGGTCTAAATAATAACCACACACACACTAGAAATGTAAACATGAAATATTTATTCCAGGCCAGGCAGGTTATGTATGAATCAATGGAATAGTATAGGTACCTTCACACCCCACCCCCTCACTTTTCATTGACACATGGACACACGTAGTGAACAGAGAGAGGGCAGAATGGTTGTAGGGCTCCTTAATATATGCAGGCCTGATTGACATAAAAACGTGGTAACTATTATTTGGAGCTACACTATTCCACTGATTCCTACATAACCTGCCTGGCTCGGAATAGATATTTCATATTTATATTTCTAGTGTGTGTTATTATTTGGACCACTGAAGCCCACAAAAGTCCACAATGGAAGTCTGTCTCAAAACCCCATCCAAGCATCCCTGCAGCCATTCTGTGGTCACCAGTACAAACATGCTTGCATGTATATGATTTATAAAAAAAAAACACAACACCCTGAAAAATGCCTGAGTTATAGAACTAAGATTTGCTTTCAAGTTTGGTAACTTCCCCAAACCCCACATCTATTAATCTACCACAGAAACTGAAGGCTTTTAAATGAGTTCAGACAACTTCTTTCTACCTTGGGCTTCCTTAAGAAGACCCTTACTCAGGAGATTCTCTGAGCAATTTGCCACTGGTAAAAAGGGACGGGGGGGGAGGGGACAGATCCCCCTTGGAGGTACCTATCTATGCGCCAGAGCCTGAGCCACAGATGAGGCCTGACATGCACAGAGGATGTTGCAGTCCTGAGAGAGAACAGCAGGTGGCCAGGACATGCCTCTGGCACAAAAGGCAAAGTGGCCAGCCCTTTCTTCTGGTGCTTCTGCCCTTAAAGGCTCCTCTTTCAGAACTTCTGCTCATGAACTGCCAAAAACTGAGCAGAGGAAGCCCCAATCACCAGGACTGAGGTTTCATGTACCCAGAGAAGCGCAGCCCAGATCTTTTTATCCTCTGCATTTTTAAAGTTTACATACCTGTCTAAGGAGTAAGGTCACTATGGTGGGGTGGTGGTGGTGGTGTTATCTGCCGGACCATCCACAGCATGCCCATTTTGTCTTCTGGAGGGATGCAGTATTCCTTGGCCCACCTTAGAAACTCTCCTGGTAGACAGATGCTGTTGTCATTTGCTATAAAGATTTTTGCGAAAGGATTCACACTAAGAGTTAGGTGACTTAAAGCCCCCTTGTGAGAAAACTGAGGAATTGCCTTTTGGCTTGGAGGACAACCACAGTTTGTAATGCAGAGAGCTGCAGCGTTCCTATAGCTTTAAGAAAGGTGGATCTCCTTAGATATTGGAAGCCCAACAGGACAGTCCTAAGGAAAGCTCCATCCTTCTAAGACCACTGAAGTCAGGATTCTCACTTACAATCCCAAGTGTATAGAAAATCCTTTCTTTTGGGGGGGGGGGGGAGGATACCCAGGTTTTGGTCCTTTTACTCCATCTGGCTTATTATTAGATGCCGTCGATTTTCAAGCTGTCTGCCTTTGGAGAACACATCAGCTCATCTACTGTGGAATTCCAGCACAGGGTACTGGGGGCATGTTCCAGGGGCATGCTGTTATTTCACACAGAGCTCTGTTGGGCTCCCTCAGTTTGTGCGTGAAAAGGGAGTGTGTGCCCTAAAACAGACCCTCCCCCCCCCCGGTTTCCTCTGTGGCTCAAAGTAAAGTTGGTCTGCCGTTATTGATCTTCTTCTTGAGGAATTCTAAAGAACAGCAGGGACTTCCAGTTTGAAAACCACTGATCTAGACAGACAGGCCTGGAGATTTAACAATATTTTAAGAGCAGAAACAAGAAGCAAGATCACTGGCAGTCAACGGCTTACCTCGGACATATCATGCACCAGCAGAAGAGGAATGCTCACGGTAGTAATGTCATGTGTGCAACACACTTTGAGGATGTTTCGAAGGCCCATTATTGCGGGATCCCGGGCTGTGATGTTCCCCGACCTCACGTTATCATCCACACAGAGGTGAAAAGCAACATGGATTTCAGAGAGATTTGAGTGGCGAGTGATGTAAAACTCCCCTGAGGGAATAAGGACATGACAGCTGGTTGCATCCAAGCATCAAACTTGCAATGGAGTCAGCCAAAGCAGTAAAAAAAGTCTCATCAGTAAGATTCAATTTAGATGAGGCTGGAAATGTGTTCTCTCAGATACTAGTTGGCTACAGTGCTGGTTTTCTGCCAATGCTATCAAGACAAAGTATAAAAGAGCAAGAGTCCGGTAGCACCTTAAAGACCATGTGACGGGGGATGAGCTTTCATGAGTTACTGCCCACTTCTTCAGAGAGCAGTGACTCAGGAAGGCTCATACCCTGCCACACATTTTGTTAGTCTTTAAAGTGCTACTGGAGTCTTGTTCTTTTCTACTGCTACAGACAGACTAACACGGCTACCCATCTTGATCTAAGGCAAAGTGTAAAAACTACTGTGACACAAAACACACAGCATCTACTAGGGGACCCTGGAACCAGTGCAAAATTATGGAGCAAAGTGCAGCACAGCCATGTTTCCTCTGTGCACTTTGATGTGCGTGTGCCAGCACAGGCAGACACAGACCCCCAAAACGACTAGGAACACTTGTACACAGATTTTGAACTACGCAGCAATGGAGGAGGAGGAAAGGCTGGACACGGGGACTGAAACAGAAGAAGATCTTGCAGGGCCATGCAACAAAAGAGAGGGAACTTATAGCACCAACAGCAGCAACCACCAGTCAGTGGCAAAGAGTCACCTCTGATTATGATACACCAGTGGCCAACCTGAGGTGTGTCAAACTTGGGGCCTTGTTTGCCATAGGATCTTGTGTTCTGTCTTCATTTTCCTGCACCGATCTGTATTTGGGATGTTGGGGAGGGCGGGAGAGTTGTGTGAGTGTGCCTGCCTGCTTCTCTTTGTTGCTTGGTAACCGTTTTCCTAAGGGTGCTTCCCATGCGATGGGAAGAGACTGAATGACCTTGGTCTGTGCTCGCTAGCCTGTCTTAGATAAGGATTGTAGGTTCACAGGTGGGGGGAATGTGAACGCACTCTCATTTTGGCAGGCTGAATGAATTGTGTGATTGGTTAAGTTTTTTGGGGGAGCTGTTTGAATGGGATATAACTTTCTTGTGGGTGCCTGTCTCGGCAGTTCTGACACAAGAATGTCTTAGCTTGCAGCATCTTTATATCTCAATAAGCAAATCACTGAAAAGAGAGTGTGGTTGAGACTGAAGTTTGCACAAGAGTCTGACAAGGTGAATAACTGCTCACGTAAACACTCGTGCGTGCAGTGTAACAGCAGAGCTGTGTACATGCGCATTAGGCTGCAGCTCCTTGTCCATTTGTGGTCTCCCTTTCACAGACGAGCAGCCAAGATCTCACTTAAGTTTCCAGCTCCATCATCATCCTGTTCACAGAAGTTGCATCTCCTCCATTACCAGGGTTGGAGGCCTGGGCTCAAGTTGGACACTGGTTTATCATAGAAGCTGACTCTGAATTGAAGAGTGCTGTCAGGGTTTAGTTAAAATAGTCTGCAAAACAGAGTCCATTTGCCTGTTCAGAAACAAAATAATGTATATAGCAGATGAAGTCTGGAACACATGACGTGTTTCATTAACAGATAGACAAGCTCCCGGATAGTTTTGCAGTGGGTTGTGCATTTCTGAACTTCTTTGGAGAACCTCTTAGACAAAGCTCAAGCTCTCCCCAGTTGTTTTCTCCTGGCTTGTGTTACATGGGACATCAATCAAACTAGAAGATTCAATTAAGAGTTCTTTTGAGAGACACAGCTAATGGGACAGACTGCACAGCCAGACCACGCTACTTACCAGGCAAAATATTTGATTGGTTTTGTTCCAAGTTCTTAGATTTATCATCGCTACCACTATTTCTGTTTGCCGCATCTGTAGGCAATAAAAGTTATTGAAATGTCATGTATAAATAGGGGTGTGCACAACATTAGGGGTGTGCACAAAACCCCCCAGAATTTTTCAGATTCGGGTATAATGGAGCTGAAAAATATCAGCATTTCTAGATATTCCTAAATCCCAATACTGGTATCAGATTCAGAATTTTTCGGGAGTCAAGAATTACTTTCCAGCTCCATTATACCCTACGGGGACCATTATAGTATAAAATCTAGCCAGGGATACCTGGAGGTCTGGGGGTGTTGTATTTTGAGGTAGAGGCACCAAATTTCAAGCATAGCTGCTGGTGCCTCTCCTCAGAAGAGACCCCAATTTTCAAAAAGATTGGACCAGGGTACCCAATTCTATGGGCCCCTAAAGAAGGTGCCCCCATCCTTGAGTGTTTCCAATGGAGGGGGGAAAGGCATTTAAAGGGGTTGTGCAGAAGCAGGAAATCTGGGGAGACAGAGGGCAGGCATTTTAAACATGCCTGAGTTGCTTGCCTGAAAGAAAGGCATTTAAACATGCCCCCCTGCACTTCCCCGAGCTTCTCCACGAAAGTGGAGAGGCTCAGGGAAGAGGGCATGTTTGCATGCATGCCCTCTGTTTTTGCAGCCTGCCCGCCACGGTGGGTGGGTTGGGGAGACAGAGGGCAGGCATGCAAACGTGCCTGAGTTCCCTGCATGATCTTCTCCAGGTGCCCTGCAGCCATGGGGCACCTAGAGAAAATCAGGCAGGTAACCAGGCATGTTTGAAATGCCTTTCTTTCCCTCCCCAATCTTGGGGAGGGAAAGAAAGACATTTAAACCCAACAGGTGACCGGCGGCTCAGGCTGTTAGGTTTAAATGAGACCTTTTCCAGTATACCAAGATCAACCCGAAAAAAAGATGGAATACAGATCTTTTTTCATTTCCCCCCCTGTTTTTTCAGCTCAGTTTGGCTATAGCTGAATGCACACTCCTAGTCTACAGCCTATGGCTCTATAGCAAAATGTGACTCAGTGTGGAACCAAAGATGATCACTCTTAAAAAAACCCCAAACCTTGTAGTTAAGGTGTATAGCAGAGGTGGGTGGACTGCTAATAATCAAAATGGCAGAGGAGAAAATTATGGGATGAAAAGGGCTTCTTGGAGATACTTTCCATAGAGGTGAACAGCTGCCAGGAACTACCAATGTCTGGGCCGTGGAAACCTTATGGATTATCAATGTCAATTATCAGAAATGTTAAGTTGCACAATTCCAGTTATGCCAATGGACTTTCTTATATTGACTCTGTTGATTTCTGGCTCTGAATTCTTGATGCAGTTTGGCTCTTTAGTTGTAAACGGTTGCAAACCTCTGGGCTCCTCTATAGGCAAATGCCACTGCTATCTTGGGCTTCATCCAGCCCATTACTGCTTCCAGCTACTTAGAAGTTACACAGCACTAACTGGACCTTCTGATCTAAAAATTACTCATTATTCTTATTTTACCAGCAAACTGAAAAGATCTGCCATCAAATCACACATTTGTTTATGTTTCACAGAGAGTGATTCCAACCATTACTGACCGTGCAGTCTCTTGGATTTACTGCTGCGTTGTGCTCGAGCATAAAGGACAACTTGCTGCACGACTTCAAGTTGCTCCTGAATCCCTGGAAAGTGAAAGTCCGTACACTCCTGGCAAACAGTTGCAAAATCTGAAATAAAAAAGAATGGCTGTTGTTCTTACTGAGGTAGGAAAACCTGTGTTTGGGCTGTACTACATAATACTGCAGATTGGCTCTCCTGTGACTGAATGCCCCCCCCCCCCAATTACCACAAAATGAGCTGAGTGCCATTGTGAGAGGCCCCTGGCATTTTAAAATTTCATTAATGTTTCTGGTAATGAGCATAACCCAAAGCAAAATTCATATTATTTTACAGAATGGGGAAAGGTTTTCCCCCCAGAATAATTTGTCAGACTCCATGACAGCAAATGCCATTCTAACCAGGAAACTTCACCTCTTTTAATCCCACTGTATGAACTGATGCGGTTATCTACTAAGAGGACCAGGCCACAAAGAGAAGTGGAGTAAAGCGACAAGGCCGTTTGAAGCCGGTGCAGTTTGACGCCACTTCGATGACTCCGTTTATGCTTGCAGAAGTCCAGCATATCTGCCCGTAGTAATCTCAGGTTGTGCATGGTTTTCAGTTGCGCTCCTGGGGAGATAAGAAAGACAGTCAGACCGACCAAAAGGAGCTGAAAACCATTCACTTGGGATGTTATTCCCTGTCCCCGTCTTCCCATCGGTGTCTGCCTTTCCTTAGATCCTTTGAAAATTCTTTATCCAGGCACTCAGAGGAGAGAAGATTTGTAAATCTGGATCACAGTCAAAATATTCCATCTTTACCACTACAATTTCATCCATTCTAACATATGTTGGATTCTTCCTGCACCTCCCACTCCTCCGTGATCAGAAGGGCGGGGGGGGGGGGGGGGGGGGGAGATGACTGCTGGGTTTGTGGGACTGGACAAAAAAGCCACAGAAGTCAGGGAGTGGTAATGAGGAGAGGGAAGGGGTGAAATCACTCCATCTTCACTGTAATGGAGTGGGATCTGTTTTTGTCTACTAGGCATGAGGGGCCAAGAAACAAGAGTATCGCAAGGAGTCACCAGATCCCCGTCTGAGAAACAACAGAATGCATTAAATGTGGCTGTGGGAACAGGTTCTCTCTGTCCAGAATTTCACTTACCCAAATGAATTGTGAAGCTTTCCTCCAGCTGTCTCTGGTCTTCAAAAAGTCTCCCATTACCTTCTACAGATTCCCTCCACTGACTGGGCTGAACCTTTATTTCATCACTGAGGCCAATAAATAAAAATGAGAACAGGTTGCTTCCTAATGCTATTGTGTCTTTTCATTTCTATTAGTTGGGAATGGAGGATTTTATACCCAGATAAGAACTATGATCACTTGAACTGCAGGGGCTGGGGGGGGGGGGCAGCTCCAGAAAGCATATACGAAGAGGAAAAAAGGGCACCTTTTATCTTGTATTTTTCAATTCAATATGTCAGGCTGATTTGGACCTACCGGACTTACTTTAATCAGAAGACATGCCCAAATAACATGGGTGAGGCCACAGTCCCTGCCCAAAACTGGTGGGATTTGAAGGAAGCTACAGATCTTAAGGATGTATTCTTTAGCTAAATGGTTAAGGCCGTGTTATGGTGGATTCTCGCCCAGGGGAACCAGGTTCATAGATAGGTCCATCAATCGCCATTAGCCATGGTCATTAAAGGCAATTAAACTCCATGTTCATAACCAATAAGCCTCTGGATACCAGCTTGCTAACCAAAACCATTCTCTAATCCAAGGTTGCCCTGCTCTGCATTCTCCTACAGAGCCCCCTCCACTCCTAGCAGATTTGGGAAAGCAGAGAAAAAACATTGGATAAACAGCACAGGGAGGGAAGAGTTAAAATACACCCCCCCCCCACACACACACGCCTTTGATCAAGCTCCTTGCCCTGGTCATAAAATTTCTTCTCTTTTTAGAGTCAGGAAGGATGTCCAGTCGTGGATCTTTCCTGCGGTATTTTACTTGGCCCACATATAGTGCTGGTAACCTGAGGTCTAAAGGAAGCAGACAGGCTTCAGTCAGCCATTCTCTGTTCCCAAACAGATGATCAGTGCCAACATCTTCTCAAAGCTATGTGCGTAGCCCTGCAATGGGAAATGGGTCTGCCAATCTTGTCACACAACCCTGTTTCCATGCAGATTGCCTTTCTCACTGTACACACGTCAACTCCTCAGTCTAGCTATGACCAATGATTCCTTTTAAAACCTTGGATGTGTGTGTGCATTTTTTTTCTGATTTGAAGCCTTACCGAAAGAGAAGACATAAAATTCTGTTTTTAACTGTTTTAACCTTGGCATATGTGCCTCTTCTGTTAGCCGCCCTGAGCCCACTTTGGGGAGGGCGGGGTATAAATTTAATACTAAATAAATAAATAAAATTATTTCCACCTGATTATGGAATAATGGGCAGCCTTCCTCCTTGCAATTATGGGACAATTCAGCTAATTTCACCTCCCAGCACCAGGCCTTCCCCACTGTCCAATCAGGGGTGGTACATGATTTGGGCCACAGTAATACTTCAGGGCTTCCCCTGCACCCTTCAGCCTGCAGCACAGGCTGCATCAGGGAATCCAAACGTTCCCTTCCTCCTTCCGACAAAACATCCATAGGCTACCAAGACTTGAGGGAAGGGAAGACGAGGTCAATACTGTTGCACCGTTTCACCACCCTAAGAGCCCCAGAGTAGCAGACAGCCCCAACATTTTTCAAGGCACACTTCACCTCTGCTTGGGAATCAACAATACAGGCTTAGAAAGACACAAGATGCAGCAGGCCTAGAAAAAAGTGAGTTGCTGTTGCGATACAAGCAACTGGGGTGGCATCTTACCAACATTTATGTCCCATCTCCCATACCCCAACTACTGGTATTCAAAGGGAAAATGTGAACTTTTCTTCGCCGACTGCACTTAATTAATAAAATGGCTCTAGAAACTGCAGGCCCAACAATACACAATGTTGTCTTCTTCATTATTAAGATATTGGACTACCTGATAGTGCTGTTGGGATTCTTTAAGTCCTCGTGAAGCTTCACCACCCACTCCTGATACTCCTGTTTCTGGATGGCTGTGGTTTGTTTCAGTTCATTGTTCCACTTGTTCTCCAAAACCTAAAAGCAGATTCCAACTCAGAATATCAACTTAAAACAAACAAACTAGTTATTCTGATCAGGAGCCTTGATTTACCTGCTGGGAATCAAAGTGCTGAGCAGCCAGCATGTTCACATCTTGATCTGTTAGCGACTTCCCCAATTCCTGCATCACCTTGTCCATTTCAGTCCCTTGCCTAGAAACAAGGACTTCTCACTCAGTCAGAAATAAGCAAGTCTCCTGAATGTGACTGCCATTAATCTGAATATTACTCTTAACAGCAAACCTGCTTTCCTAAAACAGATGCGTATTAAATTTTATAAGCCACAGCTATAGAACTAACTTCTACAACTGAACAATAACAATTTTATACACAATACTTTGAAAGGGCAAGAATCAAGTTAACATAACCTTTCTACCAGGATAAAGGCTCTTTTCTTTCTATCTGTTGAACAGTGATTTGCCCTCAATGCAATATTTGCAAATAATGTAATTCAAGAAAACCCCATATTAACAAAGAGCCGTGATACCAGAATTCACTCCACAAGCACAAAGACGTTTAACATTACTTCTTGGGAATAACACCCCAAATCTCTCACACACATGACAAAAAACTATTGCCAAAACCCTTTTTAAAAATGGCATGGAAATCAGTTGAGGGGAGGAAATCAAGAACCCACTGCGCTAATGCACTTGTGTATTCCAAAGTACACTGTTGCTCCTGAATACACTTGTAAATTTCGTAAAATGGGTATCAGATTACTTTCTGCTCCTGTTTGAAACTACGTTAGGCCAAATGGAATATGCCAGAATTTAAACATTGTAAAAATACCTTTCTCGTAACTTTTTCAGTTCTACATCTCTTTCACTTATTAATTCTGATATGCTAACAAAATAGTTGTGCTCCAGGTTCAAGAGGGTTTCAGAAGCAGGAGAATGGATCAGATCATGATACACATCTGCAAAGTCTTCATCCCAGCTGGGATTTTCAGGCCTTGCATGTTCCAGTGTTGCCTGGAAGAGAATAAAATTATGAGAATGGATCACACACATGCAGAGATACAGACCTTTTCCATTTGCATTACCAACCTTTCTATATATACCTTGATGCTCATACTAAATTTAATTATATGCTGATCATCTTGGTTTAGATCTGGACCTTGTTTCCTCCAATGCAAGGAATTCCACTTGTAAAGTGTAATTTCCCTCCTCCCCAGGAGCTCATCTCCCTAAATTATCTTCTTGAGGGTCCCATGTTCCAGAACCAGGACTGGGGGCATGTTGGTATCCCGTGGGACCAGTGAGGTGAGAAAATCATGCCATGGAAGTCCTTGTGTCGGAAAAACTGCTAGTCAAGCTCCAATCCCCTTTGTTTTTAAAAATCTACAACAATATAGATCTTCTTGCATTCTGATTTTATTTATTTTGTAATTTTTTTGGGCTTTGCAGCATTTTGCTTTACTTTTTTCATTGCTGTCTTCCTTTTACAATTACTTTCCATTTCAGTCCCACATGGGTAAGTGGACAGTAGTGAAAAATGAAGAAAAAAAACACCCCACCTCTGCCCCTATAATTCAAAAAGCTGTTCCCTGGGTGCAATTATGAATGGTCATCAGTCTTAAGTGTTCCATCTTCACCTCTCCCCTGGCTGGGGGAAAGTTAAGACCACATCCTGTATTTATCTGAACAGAGAATCTCCATTTCATTCATCACTTTCTCCGCACAGCATGAACCAGGTACTGGCATGAGGAGGACAAGGGGTGAAGGGAATATACAAGCCCAATTGCTGCTCCCAGTTTCATCCTGGGTAAAAGAGCACAACTTTAAGCAAAAGCATGAAAATTCTTATTACTGAAGACCTTGTCTACCAAGCAGCATGATTCATGGAATAAAAAGATGTTCTTTTGAAAATTAATCTAATTTAAGAGCACTCCTTGAATTATATTCTAAAGTAGTATTATAAGAGCAACCATGTTTTTTTCTATTCTTCTAGGACCTGTGCATTCCATTAAACGCTGAAAAGATACTTGATTAACCTCTGGCTTTGATATTCTGAAATGGACACTGCCAGTTTTCTTCCTCATTCCCAGAAGGCTTAGGGCAACTTGAAATCAGCTGTACCAAGCACAACCTTGTCTAAATCCAGCCTTCAAGTCCTCCTATGTAACATGCAAACTGGGGGCCTTAGCACTGCTGACTGAAACATGACTCCCTTCAAGCCGTTCCTGGCCTTCTCTGCCATTTCTTAGATCTATTTTTCCATTCAGGTTCTTCCCTCTTGGTTAGTGGCCTGCTCTGCCCCAGTACTTCAGCCTCCTTGCCTTTGTGTGGAACTGCTCACGAGCTTCTGTGCTTCCCAAGATCTCGTCCCTTGCCTCAGCTGACCCAAGACTGAGGCTCTGACCCCAGTCCAGCAGCAACTTTCCTTTTCTTTACAGAAGCTGGAATATTAATTTCTTTGTTTTCTTGCAATGCTCAACAAACTAGACAGATTCCTGTAACGAGTGCCATGCAGACTGGTTAATAGTTTGTTTCTAAATCCTCATGAGAATCCTGGACGGTAGGCTAGGGTGGCATATGATTTGTCCAAGACAACTTGGGCTGCATCTGTGATCACACAACACTGCATACCGTGCTACTGCTGTGCTATAACAATAACTTGAAAACTGTATCTTCCTGCATTGCTGAGAATGGACTGGAATGTGAAATCAGGGAGGAAAAGCACAGGACTTTTGCCTCAGGAGGAGGATGAAAATGAATTCCAGTATCAATATCCATGTTACGGGGTTTCCAATGTAACAATGCTGAGATGTTTCCTTTCAGTGCCAGGTGAAACTGACAAAAAGCTCAAGAAAGGTACTCCTGTATTCAGCTGATCAGATTTCTCACTGCACTAAAAAAAATGTCCACTAAGGTCTGAACTGCAGCCCAATTTCCAAATCACTCTTCAGTTAGCATTAAGGGATGTTTCCTACCTCAGTATAAGCTCCGGCCCATGAGTTTGTCAGGTGGTGCAAATCAACTTTGCCAGACTTCACAGCCTCCAGAGCTGCTTCTGCTTCTCTGTCATAATCTTTCATAGATTCTTCCTCAATGAATTTATTAAGGGATTCTTTTAAATCTATTACAATGTGGGAAAGCAACAACAATTTGAATAGTAACCACCATTCCAAACTAGCATATATTCAGTTTTTAATCTTGCATCCCATGTGATTGTGAGAAAGAATTCGGCTGTAAATCTATTTATTTGAACTTACTTCCAAGTCAGCTCATCTAGAACTGTTGTCTTAATTTATTCATATACCAATTAGTCCAGATCACATCAAGCCTTGCCAACTGTTTCCAAATTATTTTGTTACAGCACATTAATAAACACATGAGCAATGTATGGTAAATGAGCCTTACAAGGTATGTAAAACAGAGCTGCACCGCCAAGATAATTCTTTTATACAGCTCTGCCTGTCTCTTCCCCCTTTTTTCTTCCCCTGGGACAGTGATAGTATTATTATACTCCATCTGATTAACTGTAAATGTTTGAATTGGTCAAATTCATATGCTTTTAATTGTATTTTAACTGTCTTCTATATGTTGTGATCGGCTCTGAGTCCCATGATAGTGAAAGACAACAGAATAGAAATCAAATTAATAACAGTAAAAATAAATAATAATAATAATCCCAGTGGCAGTTTCCAATTTAAATATATATATATTCTAGTCCTTATGGTTAGAGAAATTGTTGAAAATATAAGAATATCCAGAAAAGTACAGCTGCTGCAAACTCGAGGGCAAAGTCAATTGAAATGTTAGACGTATTTCAAAGTAAATAAGGATAAACTGGCCTCTATGTCACAGGCAACAGAATGAATATCTGGATATTAAGAAAGGATGAGCCAGCTTTATTTTTCCAATTGCAGATTAACTGCAGTCTTCCACCTTTAGTCTTGCTCACTAGCAGCTGCCCACCCAAAGATGAACATGTATCATCCTGGTTATCTATACAACATACCCTTACCATCTTCAATGAAGCATGGCAAATCATGAAGGAGCATCAGGCGCCCGTGCAGGTGGTTAGCATTTTCTTGCACTGGAAACTTCAGTGGAACAGTGAGGACAAAATACTGGTTTCCGGCAGTGAACCGATACACAAATTCTCTCTCTTTAATGCCAATTTTTTCTTGGCTGCCCTTCATGTTAAATGCTTCCTCTGTATTCTAGACACAAAGAAGAAAGTTATGATCCTCAGACCATCAAGCCAACAGGAATTTCCCAACCTGGCGTTGGCAGCCCCAGCAGAGAAACAAAGACGACAGGAGTGTGGGCGTGGAGGGAATCGGACACCGATTTATTCAGAACTCACCAAAGAAAGAGCCCAGCGGAGGGTTCTTAACCGCACTGGTCTAATTCTGCTGTTACGGAAAGCGCGCAGGCTTCCAGCCTACACAGAATCCTTCTCTGAGTCCAGGGGGAACCTGCCTGACGGCATACGCAGGGCCGTATTATCAGAGGACCCCTCCGCATAACGATTTGGACAACCAACTCCACTTGTTTACTTCCGCTTTCTCATACTCGAGGTTCGATCCCACTCTTTCTCCACTTTCACTTCCGGCACCGGGGACCGGAAGCGTCCTCCCCGAAGGCATATGCATACCAGGGCTGAGGGGTTTTTTGACGTCAGCCACTGCCTTTCCAGCTCCTGCCCATCAAAAACGAATAAAACTTCCGCAGTTGCCCGGCCCGCCCAAGATCCTCGAAACCGCGCCTCAATTGGGGAAGCATCCGGTGGCCCCGCCCACTCCCTCGCGCTCATATTACTGAGAGTGCGCAGTGTGAATCGTTAGTTCCTCTGACAGGGTGCGCCCCAACACTTTAGCCCAGTACTCTGCGCATGCGCCTTTTAAATACACCGTCAGCGCCTTCGCTCAGCGCTTTGCGCATGCGCCCTTTAAATGCGCCTTCAGTCACTCTGCGCGGGAGTTACGAACTGACAGCTGTTTGAGGAGGGGGTTGCTGGGGATGGCGCGGAGGTGGGTACCGTTTCCTTTCTCCTCCTCTCATGGAGATGTTTCTCACAGTCCTTGAGCATATGCAGAGTTCGTTCTTTCCAAGGCCAAAAGGGGTTGTTTGTTTTAAATGAGGGCTAAAGAGTGTCTGCCCTGACCCTGGATAGCCTAGGCTAGCCCTATCTCGTCGGAGCTCAGAAGCTAAGCAGGGTAGGCCCGGGCTAATATTTGAACAGGAGATCACCAAGGGTTACCAGGGTCGTGACACTAGGGTTGCCAGCTCTGGGTTGGGAAATACCTGGAGATTTTGGGGGTGGAGCCTAAGGAGGGTGGGGTTTGGGGAGGGGGAGGGACTTCAATGTGGTATAATGCCAGAGTTCATCTTCCATAGTGGCCATTTTCTCCAGGGGGAACTGATCTCTGTCACCTGGAGATCAGTTGTAATCCCAGGAGATATCCAGCCACCCCTGGAGATTGGCAACCTTATGTGATATGGAGGCAGGCAGTGGCAGACCACCTGAACCAAGGCCCAGGGGGTTGCCATAAGTCAGCTGTGACTTGATGGTTCAAGGTATGTGAAGAAGTGAGCAGTGACTCACGAAAGCTCATACCTTGCCAGGTATTTTGATAGTCTTTAAGGTGCTACTGGACTCTTGCTCTTTTCTACTGTGACCTGATGGCACTTTCTACTATCTAAAGAGTGTCATATTTCTGAGCAGAGTTCTTTGTGCACAAGGCAGAAAGGTGTGGAGTTTGTTTGAGCAGGGAATGAAGAGTATTGTGTTCTAGAGCATGTACATAGTTATTTCTTCAAGACAGGAAGAAAATGCCCTTCCCCCACAAAACACCAAAAGGCAATGGGGGGGGGGGTTACCTTCTGTGGGCAAAGGAGACAGGAAGCCAGCATTGCCTAAGGATTAAATAAGAAAACTGAACTGCTTTAGAGAAGCAAAACCGAATGAGTGCTTGGCAAACCTTGTTTGGAAGATCTGCAGGCTGGGGCGCAGGTAAGCTGTCTAGCAGTATTCATACCAGGTCAACAGAAGGACATTTCAGAAAGGAGAGCGAGCTCTGAATGCCAGTGCTAGGATGTAGTATCAGGGCAAGGCCTCACCCTCTATTCCCTGTTTGTTTGGTCCTCAGGGCAACTGTTCTCAGTTGCTATGTGAAATAGAAGGCTGGACTAGATGGACTCTTGGTCTGATCCAACAGGCAGTTCTTAAGTTCTTAGCAACTGATGTATGCGTCTTTTGCCTAAACCTTTTGTTAACAATATTTTTTCCTAATCCCATGTCTTTCCAAAAGGATATTGATTCTACACGTGCTCTAGTTTTTGTTTTTATACTTTATTTACTATTTATTTATGTAGTTCTTACTCTGCTTTTCTCCCTAATGGGAACCTAAAGCAACTTACAACATCAGTCTCCTCTCCTTCCGTTTATATCCCTACTAGTAGCAAAGTCCGTTGTAAAAAGAATACGAGTGCTAGCAAGATCTTGGCCTTGCCTTCCTCCCTGGCCACCTTCGCGTCTATGGTGCTGGTCCTTATCCACTGGCAGTCCGCCCTGCCACCTGCAGCCGTCCACGGGTGGCGGCAACCGGTGTGGCGGCGGCATGGCCGGCCTTGGCCTCCTTACCCTGCGGGTGCCGGATCGTTGGGCCTGTCCATTGCCTCGCAGCACACCGAGGACAAGAAGCTGGCCGCCGCTTCCATAGTATCTCCGCCCGGCCGGTTCCCTGTACCCTGGCGCAGCCGACGACAACCGCTGCACCTCTGCCATGTTTGGCCTCGGCCTCCTAAGCTTCCGCCTGCCGGAGCGTCCATCCCATTCTCCGGCTCCCTCCAGACTGAGGCTGAGACGCTGGCTGCTGGCTCTGTGGGCGGGACTGAGGCAACACAGTGTGGCAATGCAGACAGGGGAATGGCACACCTGAGTGACAGATCAAGCAGCCAACTGATTAGGGGGCGCATGGAATGTTCGGGAAGGTGCCACCCAAAAACACAGTTATATATAGTAGATGAGATAGAGATAACAATTCTGTCAGGAAAGGTAGAGGGGGAGAGAGAGCATGTGTCTAACCCAGGGTCACCCACCAAACTTGCATTGCAGAGTGGGGGTTTGAATCTGAGTGTCCCAGATCCTAATCTGACACACTAACCACTACAACCACTGATTTCTTTATCCTTGGTTTTATGCTGCTAAATGATTTAAATAAATGTGTATTAAGAACATAAGGGATGCCAATGTTGAATCAGGCCAAAGGCCCATCCAGTCCAACACTCTGTATCACACAGTGGCCAGAAATACCAGGTGCCATCAGGAGGTCCACCAGTGGGGCCAGGACATTAGAAGCCCTCCCACTGTTGACACCCCCAAGCACCAAGATGACAGAGCATCACTTGCCCCAGAGTCCCTATCTATACCTTGTGGCTAATAGCCACTGATGGACCTCTGCTCCATATGCTTATCTAATTCCCTTTTGAAGCCGTCCATGCTTGTAGCACCCACCACTTCCTGTGGCAGTGAATTCCATGTGTTAATCACTCTTTGGGTGAAGAAGTACTTCCTTTTATCCGTTCTAACCCGACCGCTCAGCAATTTCATGGAGTGCCCACGGGTTCTTGTATTGTGAGAAAGGGAGAAAAGTACCTCTTTCTCTACCTGCTCTTTCCCATGCATAATCTTATAAACCTCAATCATGTCACCCCTCAGTCGTCGTTTCTCCAAGCTAAAGAGCCCTAAGCGCCTTAACCTTTCCTCATAGGGAAAGTGTTCCAACCCTTTTATCATTCGAGTTGCCCTTTTCTGCACTTTTTCCAAAGCTATAATATCCTTTTTAAGGTGTGGTGCCCAGAACTGCACACAGTATTCCAAATGAGGTCTCACCATTGATTTATATAGGGGCATTATTATATTGGCTGATCTGTTTTCAATACCCTTCCTAATAATCCCCAGCATAGCATTGGCCTTCTTTATTGCAGTCACACACTGTCTCGACATTTTCAGTGAGTTATCTACTACAACTCCAAGATCTCTCTCTTGATCAGTCTCTGCCAGTTCAGACCCCATCAATGTGTATTTATATTTAGGATTTTTGGCTCCAATGTGCATCACCTTGCACTTGGCCACATTGAACCCCATTTGCCATGTTGACGCCCACTCGCCCATCTTTGACAGATCCCTTTGGAGTGCCTCACAATCCTCACTGGTTTTCACCACCCTGAACAACTTCGTATCATCTGCAAATTTAGCCACTTCACTGCTTACTCCCATCTCCAAATCATTAATGAACAAGTTAAAAAGCAGTGGACCAAGTACTGATCCCTGCGGTACCCCACTGCTTACCTCCCTCCACTGAGAAAATTGCCCATTTATACTCACTCTCTGTTTTCTATTAATTAGCCAGTTTTTGATCCATAAAAGGACTTGTCCTTTTATCCCATGATTTTTGAGCTTACTTAGGAGCCTTTGATGAGGAACTTTATCAAAAGCTTTCTGGAAGTCAAGGTAAACAATATCTATTGGATCCCCCTTGTCCACATGTTTGTTCACCCCCTCAAAGAACACTAACAAGTTAGTGCGACAAGATCTTCCCTTACAGAACCCATGCTGAGTCTGCCTCAATGTTCATCTATGTGCCTACTAATTCTTTCCTTAATAATGGTTTCCACCAATTTACCCGGTATCGACATCAGATTGACTGGCCTGCAATTTTCCGGATCTCCTCTGGAACAGATTTTAAAGATTCCTCAGGAATGGACGCAGATTTTAAGGAATGATTACATATTTTTGTCAGGAGATCCACAAGTTGACATTTGAGTTCTTTCAGAACTCTCGG